ACACGTGACCCATCCTACCCCTTCCAGACCCTGTCATGCCTCAGCAAGCTCCCCACCCACACCACGCAGCTCAAGCCCTAGCTGGGGAGAGAGAGAGCCTCATGTCAGTGACAGACTTGCTCTGGTGGGAGATCCACATAGCTGCAGGTTGCAGAACAAGTTTCACTGGGACATCTGGACTGAAAACAGTCATCTATGGGCTTAACGAAGCTACAGGCAAGCAGCTAGATAGCTGAGCAAGAAGCAGAGACTGGGCAGCCTGACCTTCAGCCAACCCTAGCATAACAGCAGCAGGTAAGAGCCCAATGTCCGTGGAGTTTGGCTTGAAGCAGCTTGGAGCAATGCATTTGACCGGCTCAGCATGCAGGAGCTGGCATGCAACAGGGTCCACAGGCTAGCACGGGCTAAGGACAAGGAGAGGAACAGCTAACACTGAGGAGACTATACACAGGGCAGCGCTCCCTCTCTGTAAGGCTCTGGCTGGGGCCAAGCCATCTGCCAGCAGGGAGTGGGGGTCTCGCCGGTAGTGTGGGCTTACGCTGGACAGTACAGCACCAGCCTTATAGCAAGGGAACACTGCGCAGAGAAGTTATATATACATATAGATATATAAATATATATATAATGTACATTATATATATAGGGGCACAGTCACATCACAGGAGCGGAGAAGTTTGCTCACCATTAGCAAAAATCCTATGAAAGACTGTTGGTAACAGAGCAGCCCGTAAGCGGGAATAAAACAAGATAGAAGTCGATGAGTTGATGAAACAGCAAGCACTTCACATAGATACAGACAGCGACGTCAGAACCACAGCGGAACATGGACGGGGGGAGGTGGTCCCTACATTGGGCCACCCTCTCAGTAGGCTTCAGCCTGTGACCTCACAAGGATCATGACTGTCTCTACACCCCAGACCCTGTGGGGCCAGGGAGAGGAAGTGGCTATGCCCACAGGGCACAGGGTGCTGCGGCCAGTGCTCAGGGCAGGGAGGAGGCTTAGTTTCGAGTGCCCAGCAGGGCTGTGACCCCCACCATGCCACAGGACAGGGCTGTTAGCAGCACTACTCTCCCACCCACTTCATGAGGTCTTGCTGCCTGGCAGAGCGCAAAGCTCAGGGAATGGGACTATGGGAAGGCCATGGGACAACGGGCCAGCCCAGAGACTTACCCAGCCCAAAAGCCTGCCCATGCTCCAGAGAAGAAAGGGACTGCATCAAGCAGCAAGTTGCTCCACATGCTCCTTCTAGAGCATCCCTAGGAAGCCCCCAAAGCTCGCACCACAGTCCCTGGGACACCAAGCTCCAGAGTGAGACTGGTTTGGCTCAAGGGAGCAGATGACAGCCAGGCCAGATATCTCTAAACCTCAGAGCGGGCACAAGTCTCGGAGCGGGCCGCTTTCTGCACTCATACCACTCCTCTGCTCTGAAGTGTGCCTCACTGCCAGCTCTGGCTGGGGACCCTGCTCGCACCCAGGAAGCAACCCCAACACAGCTGCAAACAGGACAGCCACACTCAGCCACGCTCCACCCAGGAACTTCCAGTCCATGCCAGGTCTCCTCTGCCCTCCCAGCCCTGCCCACCTACAGCAGCCTCACAGGCCCCAGTCAGCCCTCCCTGCAGTGTCCTCCTTCCAAGAGTCCTTCAGTTAAACCAATGGGTGCCAACCTTTTTGACAGGCATGCCACAACACAAGCCCATGCCTTCTCCCCAAGTGTCACACCAATCCCCTTCCCCTGCCCCAATCCACTGCCCTGAGTTCTGCTCCCTGCACTACTCTGCCCTGTGCCACACAGAGGTTGGCCACCTCTGCTACACACTGTACTGCTCTCCCACTCCTGTCCTGTTCCAAACCACCCACTCCAAGAATCTCCAGGCCAAACCCTTCCCAAGCCAGGTTCTTTCTTTCTAAAAGCCCGCAACAGACCTGAGAGATTCTAGTCACTGCAGCCAACTCTCAAAGAAAGGGAAGCAACCTATCTGCAAAGCAGATTGGCAGCAAGTTGCCAAGGTGGTAGCAGGAGACGGGCTCTGGGAACCCCCTCCCGGCACGGCACTCAGCAAGCCAGGTAGCTTGCATGTGTAGACTTGACCTACCCTCCATTTGCTGAGCCCTCAGATCACTGCAGGGTCTCATGGCATCCTGAGGGGAAAGAGAAGGGCACGCACATGCCTGCTCAAACCCAGGCCTTTCTAGGACCCACACTCTCCTTCCCCCATCCCCGACATGACAAACTGATGGACGGAGCATGGCCTCTGCATTGCACCTCTTCTCTCCCTGTGCCTGCTGTCTTTGGTCCCTCCTTCCTGGGACAAAAGGGAATTATGCAGCTGCAGGGTGCCATGCAGAGCAGGTGATGGGCAGTGGCTTGAGTACTGCACAGTCAAACTCCAAGAAAAGGAGGTACTGACTAGAGATGCGCTGCAGGTCACAGAGCTCATCATAGGATGGTGACGAAGGCCCCCCAGCCTTAGCAGCACTTCCCAGCTCAGGGATGCCCTTCCCTCCAACATGGAGGGTGGCAACTTTCCCAGACACCTGCACCACTTCACCAGTGCCAGCACCTTCTACTGCTTGCCCCAAGGGAAGACAATCCAGATCTCCCAGGGCTGGCACCATGGACACTAACAGTGCTGCTTTTTTGTGCATTCCCAGGTGCCTTGCACCTTCGTGCAATCAGGGCTGCAGCTCCTGGGACTTACCAGACTGCTTTAGCAACACACAGGACAGGAAGTTTCAGAGAGCGACTGAGTGGTGAGAAGTAATTCCACGGAAACACAAGATCCATGCTCATTGCTTCAAATGCCTCAAGAGGGAAATGCTGCTAAGACCGAGCATCAAGTTGGTCTGCCAGGTCCTAACCCCACTGGAGGAAAGTCCCAAGGCAGCAGGATACTGTGCCAACACAGCTCCATCTCGGCATCACTAGCTTGGCTGCACAGTGGCACTGCCAGCGGCTCTGGTTCAGGGCCCTCTGGGTAACGGCCCCTGCAGCAGAGGGGCTGTTCCTCCGCACATAACCCCAGCTGCTTTTTAAATAAAGGAGTCACTAGAATCCTGGTTAAGGTGGGCAGATGAGCAGTGCCAGCCAGAGGTCTGAGCTGTTGCCTCTGCAGGTTCACGCTGACAGGGTGTGCCCTCTCCACAGCCAGAAAAAAGCCTTGCCTGTGGCCCTCTTACAGAACTGACTTCCGAAGACTCATGGGGCTCCAGTTGTCTCAGCTTCTTCTGGTTGCAGCCCACAGAAGCAGAGCACTGAGAAAGGGGCCAAGGGCCTGCAGGAAGCCTGGCTCCACAGTGGCAAGACTCAGAAAGCCAAAATTAGTGAGGAAGAGGCTCTGTGTATTGCCACTCATAGGGCTCAGACCTATCCCAGAGGTGTCAAGCAGTGGAACTGTCCTCCCTGAATCAAACCCCAAACATACATGCAGAGTTGAAAGGCAGTTTCCTGTGATGAAAGCAGCACTTATGATCCCAGCACTGGGGGGACCAATTTCCAGCTCTGCAGGACTCCTAACTCTTCGTCGGTGTGAGTGGGCCAGAAGCTTGCCAAGAGTGGTGGAGCAGGCTCATGGAGAGCCTTCAGAAGTTCAGGGAGAACAAATGCCAAGCCCCAGCACCCTGGCAACATGCCAGAGGTATTAGTGCTCCTTCTGTCTCATCCCCATAGGACAGGATTTCTAAACATTTTCCCTAAGCAATGGGTTCAAAGCCCTCCTGACATGGGGTAGTGAGTCCAACTGCCCCAGAGAAGAGCACGGCTGGGGTCTGACTTAGGAGGAGATCTGTGTTGATGCAGACTAGAATGGAGGCATGTGCCAACTGTCTCTTTTCAGCTCTGCAACTAAGTTCAGCCAGGACAGGCTGCAGTCTGCTCCTCCTCAGAGGTCACAACAGAGACACAGAGGAAACAAAGAACCCTTCCCTCCCAGGATGAGAGTGAGCCCGGAGGCAGGCTGAGATTCCACGTGGGCAGAGGCTCATGAGCCAGCGTGAATTCAGTCACCAGTGTCTAGCAATGCTAGGGTGATGGGAGGTGGCAAAGCAGGCAGCTGGCGCATCAAGCTGGCAGACAGCATGCCTGCACTGAACAGAAGAGGGCAGAGGTCTCAAGGACACAAGAGGGAGGACAGAGGCAGAGCACAGACAGAAGCCAGACCAGCTCCTGGAAGCTAGATTTCAGCAGTGCTTCCTGACTGTCACCAGATTTTCCATCCTGCTTCAAGGAGACCTGGCCAGTCCAGAAGCAGCAGCTCTGGATGGGGAAGAAGGTGAAGCAGCTTTCCTGAGGCCAGGGGTCTGATAGCACAGGGAGAAGTCAGGGAAGTGGCCAGGGGCTAAAACATCTGATGAAGAAGGTTGTTGCCTCCAAAGGCTCCTGCTTCTCTGAACCAGCTAGCCTTCAACGTGTCACCCTGCCCTGCCTTCAACCATGGGCCAGCACCAAAAGCACAGACCAAGACTATCGGTAAGATCTGAGCTGGCCCGTAAGTCCAGCAGCTCCGAGTAGAAGAGAAGGCACAAGAGGAAAGTGCAGCCAGTCTTGGCTCCTTGCGTCTAGTGCTGCAAGGATACTGGTGCAGCCTCTAAACAGCTTGTCAGGCGGGTCTCAAAGCTCACCAGCCTGGGGTACATGTGCATGTAGGCAGAGGAGCATACAGCCCACTCCCCCAAGAAGGGACAATGAAGGAAACTAGACAGACTCAAGGATTTTGCACACACACGACCAAGAAGTGTCCATGTCACTTGCTAAGTACAAGTCTCATCAGGGGTGTGACCTGACCCCAGTTCTCAAAGGATGGGAGAAGGGGCTGCATCAATCCCCACTGTGCCCAAGAATGCTCGCCACCAGGGCAGGCCCTCCCAGCCTGCCTCGATTCCGGAGGGCAGTGCTCTGAACAACCCTCCCTAAGCTCTAGCAAGGTGAGAAACTGAGCGCCCAGCAAGGACTGAAGCAGTGGATGCAGTCACTGGGGACTTTGCCTAGTGAGCCTCTTACCTGATCCGATTTTGATCAGTCCATTGTGCTGGATGAAGATGGTGTCACAGGTCAGGTTGCCATGGATGATGGGGGGGTCACAGGAATGGAGGTAGCTAGAAATTCAGAACAGGACACTAATAAGGAGAGACCCTCTGCCACAGGGCAGCAACAGCAGCAGGGGCTGAGGGACAGCATTAGTGAACAATTGGCTGGGAGCATCTGCAGGGGCTCGGAGACATGGCCAGGGCCAAAAACAATGATAAAATAAAATAAAGCCTGACGCCTGACCAGGGAGGGAGGGAGGGCGGAGAGGGAGGAAGAGAAGAAAACCTTCCCTGGCCCCCTGCCCCAGCCCGTAGGAGGCACTAGCTGGACGCCCTACCCCACCCAGACAGCTGCAAGGGGCAAAGTGGCAGCAACCTGGCTGTGGGCCTTCATCACCTCCAGGATGATGCAGCCGAGCACCACTGCAAGCTCAGCTGACACCATAGCTTAAAAGCAAGCTTTGCTCTGGATCCCAGCTTTGCCAGGAAAGACAGCTGGGAAGCCCATTTCTGCCCCTGCAAGCAGAGGATGCAGCTTCCCCAGTCTTCGGAGGCCTTAAATGTTCTCGGAACACCTGCAGCTGCCCACAGAGAAGATGAAACTGTGTTTCATACTTCAGGGTTCCTGCCAATCCCATGTAGGGGTCAGGAGGGAAATTCACCCCCTCCCCTCCCAATACTCAGTACAATTTCAGGGACTTTTCTTTTTCTTTGAAGGGCCAGAGATGAGCTAAGGAAGGACCAGAGATGAGCTAAACCAATGCAGAGAACCCTTGGCAGTGCCTGGCAGGCGTGCCCACCAGACCTGGCATTAGAAGGCATTCCCCCAGGTCAGGGGGGGCCCTGCAGCCCAGGGCATATTCCACTTGCTGGAATCCTGACCTAAATCATCTCCCTGTGGCTGTGGGGCCTTGGGAACTGGTGTGCGCTGTTTCTTCCCTGCACTACATCAGTTTCATTACACTATATTCCCGTCCTCACACTGTACTTCTTAGCACTATGGCTGGGACAGTGTGAACTGGCTCCAGGAGGCCAGCCTAGCTCATCTAGAGCTCTTGTGGACCCACTGAAGGATTGGCGCACAAGTTTACAGCTTTAGCATTCTTATCTGGGGGCTCCCTGGACAGCATTTTCAGCCTGCCAGCACAAGGAGAGCACTAAAGTGCCTCTGGACTGTCCACGCAGCAGATAAATCCTGCCCCAGCACAAAAAGACTGCATTCAAAACCTATGACTTGGGCAAGAAAGCTACATCCTCCAGTGCTTCCTGGTTTCTCATGTCTTTGGTCAGAAGACCTGAACTGGCTGAGAGCACATCCAGAAAAGCTGAGGCCGACAGACTCCAGACTGCCCTCAGTATGGTTGGTCTGGGCTCCTCCAACACACAGCTCAGTCTGGCTGGTTGCTTTGGGGTCCATACCTGAGCGCAGAGAGGATTTGGGTGCACCAGCGTTTCCAGGCCTGCAAATACAGCAAAAACCAAGTCAGTCAGCAGCAGGACTAGCTTCAGGCTATTCAAGCCCATCTAAAGGAACACATCCCCTCTTGACAGCTCCTAGTGCCAGCCTAGGCCCAGTGTAGGGATCTTGCTGTTGCTTGTCATCACTACAGCTGTGCTCAACCCAGGCCCACGCTTGTGGGGAGAAGGAATCCCCCACCTCCTTCCTGGGCACTGGCTTCCCTTCCACCCCACGTGGATGTAAAGAGGAGGCAGGTTACTCACGACCATGCCCAAAGGCTGTGCAACTGCACTGCCTACTTCATGCTTCTCTGCAGAGCACTGCCCCAGATGGCCCAGCCCCTGCATCCTGCTGCACCAGCCTCTGCTGAAGCTGGCTTTTAGCAGCAGGGATGCCAGATGAATGGAGATTCAGCCTGTAGAAGGTAACCCTTGAAGCCTGTGCCAGCCCGGTCAGAGCAGGGTGCACAGAGAAGGGGTTTACCTTTTCATTCATTGTCTTGTGGTTTTTTTTTGTCTTCTTCAGGAACTGTTTCAAGCTGCCTGATGACATGTACTCTGTAATGAAGATCACCTGCAGGGGTAGAAGGAGACATTACCCACTGCTTCCCCTTGGCCCCACAGGGCCCCTGGGTGCACAGGAAAGGGGCTGCTCTCATTACATACCCTGGCCTTGTTCTCCTTCACGTCAGCCCAGTACTTGTGGAACTTCACGATATTCAGGTGCTCCAGCTGAATCAGGTTGTCAAACACTGCTTTAACCTTCTCCTGGGACACACAGAAAACCAGAGCCCTATTACCACCCATGGTACCCTGTTGCCACCTGTCGCACACACCCCCTCCTGGGTCTGACCCAGCCCCCAACCCTGGGCACTACTAGGGGAACAGTTCCAGCTACTGTGTCTAGAGCTTGCAGCATCTTGCTACACACCTGAAACCACTGCTCACCCTGCCCTTGTAGCCATGGCCAATCGGCTCACTGGTACCAGCACCACTACCCTGTTCCACATCCAATGAGGACGTCCTAACAACTTGCACAGGTCCCTGTGTGCACACACTAGGCCTGTGCATCCAGTGTGTCCAATGCTGTCCACCTGCCGGCGCAGAGCTACAAGCACAGCTAATCACCTGCACTGCACACCTGGGCTGTGAGATCCCAACCCAGCCAGCACCTGGCAGTCCCTGCCCCACCAGGAGATGCAGGACAGTCTCCCCCACAACTTACCTCCTGAAGCTTGAAGTTCTTGCGCTCAGAAAACTGCACCTCATTCCAGACTACTTCCACCCCTTCCTCTGTGTCCATTGCCAGGTAGGCACTATCAATCCCTGGGACATTGCGCTGGTTCACCTGGACAAACAGTAGGGAGAAAAACATGAAGTCCAAGACAGGGAGACCCCCTTGTCCCACTCCCTTCACACCCCAACACAATGAACTGCAAGCCTGGTGTTCCATATGCATGTATGTTATGGTATGTGCCCCAAGATGCTTGTGCTCTGTGCTAGAGAGCAGAGGTGGACAGAGGGTATGGGGAGGAGGAAGGAACTGGAGGGAGCAGACAGCAGTCCAGGGAGAGAATCTTGCACACCACTAAGCTGCTATTGAGCTGCCTGGTGATGCTGAATTACTGGACCTGACTGTACCATCAATGGTGTCTACACTTCCTTGACTACATCAAAGTGTGGGGAAAGAAGCCTGCATGGGCAGTCAGCAGACTGTTCTAAGAGGGGATCTGCACAGGAGCGATGCTGTGCAGAGAATGAGCAGAGAAGACGTTTTGGGCACGGGAAAGCAGGGGCAATGCTGCGTGTAGGAGGAGACTGCCAGATGCAGGTGGCACAAGGGATCCTGCACCAACTGGAACAGTTAAAGCCTGTGTAGTCAGGATCAGCAGAGTTGGCAGTAAACCACTTGAACCCAGTGCGAGTGTGTCTACATTCAAAGTCTGCCAAGCTGCTGACAAGCCTTAAGCAGGGAATTAAAGCTTGGCTGTGGGAAGCACCAGGGCTGTGGAGGGCCCCAAATGAGAGGGTAGTGCTTTCAAATGGAGGCTGGCAGAGAGTGGGAAAGGGAATGGCAGCAGAGCAGAAGGGGTCCCCCTCATACAATCTGGCCATCTCATTTCCCTCCACAGGGACACACCGCTCCTACAGCATCTTCCACATGGACTTGGAGCGCATGCCTTGGAGAGCCCTGCTGGACATGCGTGCCAGGGCTCTGCTGAATTAAGCACTGGAAACACAGAACTGGACCCCTGCCCCAGTGCTTATCATGGAGTGAAGACTGCATTGGCACCAGGTAGAGCTGCAATTTGTCTCCTCATTATAGAGGCAACAGATATTTCAGCTTACCTCTGCCAAGCGGCTGCAAGTTGGTTGGGTCCCAGCCCTGTATGGCTTGGGTTTGCTGCACACAGCACTATTAAGCTTAAACAAACTATACAGCAAGAATAATTAGAAAGTTGTAAATTACTGTTAGCCAGCTGATTAGACCAACAGGCAGAAGGGAAGTGCATGAAGGCTACAAGCTTAAAGTGGGATAGAACAGTATTTTTGTTTATACCTGATTTATACATTGAATAATTCTAGGCCCCAATTAGATTGCAATGATTATATACGAAAACCAATTTCTAGTCCCATACAGATAACCATACAGCTGTACCCTACTGTGCTACCTCAGTAGGTTAACTAATTAGTTACTCCTTCATTGCTAAACCTCCTACCTTTCCAGGGGAGGTTACTTGACTTATCTTCCAGGTGGAATCTGCAAGGGCTTTAACTTTTTTTTTTGCTTATCACATTTTTGGCAGCCTAACAGAGCTTGGTATTACTTTATTTTGGTATTTATTTAGGATTCAGGAACAGCATGAGGGGAGGCAAAAAACGCAATAATTTTCAAGACTGTTTGATCAAATTACATACTGGGGTTGCCTGCAGCAGCAGAAAGAACTGGACTTGATGGCCCAGGATGTCCCTTCCTGCCCCAGCTAGGAAAGACATGAAACAGCAACTAACGAGTTCAATATTTTCAGATCTGCAGATCCAAGTAACTTGCATTCATGTGATTTCTGGACAAAGAACTCCAGTGAATACCAACTCTGATGGATCAAAGGAACTCTGGGGACACCCCAGATGGCCAGGGGTTGAGAGACAACAAACTTGTGCCAATGTTTCAAAGGGGTGAATGGGATAACCAACAAATCTCAGTCAAAATAAAGAAAAGGCTAATGTGCAATATAACCATTATAGAACAAAGAGAGTATAGAACAAAGAAACTCTAGACTAATTAAAGGTCCAAAACAGGACCTTTGGGGCTGGGGTTTTTTTTGGTGGGGGGAGGGGTTAATATCGTTTTTCATGAGATTACGAGTTTGGTTCATAAGGATAACTGCGGATTTAAGATCTCAGGGTATCTCCAAGGTATGACATTCTCCCATTTGGTACTATACTATCCAAGATGAATGCCTTGTATATTTAATGATTTAAATTGGGCTAGATGATCATCTCCATGTAATGGCAAATGGTAATTTATCCTCCTGTGGGGATATTTCCAGTGGAGTCCCACAAGGGGCAAGCTCCATGTGTCAGGAGCTCCTGACAGAGACTTCCGGTAAGTGAATGCGCAGGGGGGCTACTATGGGGGTGATGACACAAAGCATAGCCAGGGACCCTGCCTTGGTGTTGCCTCTGGCTCAGAGCTCCTCTGAGGTTTGCACCCAGACAGGCCTTTGGATGGGGCAGTTGCATCCTGGCCCCCTGTCTGCGGGGGCTGCCTGGCAGGGACTCTGGGGTGCAGGGGTGGTGGACAAACCAGGAGTCCCCTCACCTGTCCCATGCGTGCCCAGCTTGAGGTGCTGGAGGGGCAGGTGAGGAAACTCCAGGAAGAGGTCAGCAGGCTGTGGGGGATCAAGGCGGAAGAGATTGATGAGTACTTCCACACTCTGCAGGACCGCACATATGGCAGGATTGCAGCATAGGAGGGACCGGATGCAGAACGATGGAAGACAGTCACCTCCAAAACTAGACGTTGCAGAACTAGATGTCACACTGCTGGAGTGACTCCCCCAGTGCAACTGGAGAACATCACTGGGAGAGAGGGCAGCAACGGAGGCCGTGCCCACAGCTACCACCAGACAGACTGAAGAACAACCGGGCAGCCAGAGGAGAAGACATCGGGTCATCATGATTGCAGATTGGCTGAGGGGTCGCACTCAGAGGGTAGTGGTGGATGGGTCATATTCAACCTGGGGGGGGTGGGTAGCGGAGTCCCCCAGGACTCGGTCCTGGGGCCTGCGCTGTTCAATTTCTTCATCAGCGATCTGGATGATGGGGTGGAAAGTAACCTGTTTAAATTCGCTGATGACACCAATATTTGGGGGGAGGTGAGCA